AAATCGCCATTATTTTTATTCTCTTTTCTGATTTCACTCGGCTCGATTTATATAAACACACGTAAGTTATGAAAGTTTGAACAGCCTTCCGATGCATAATCTCCAATGACCAGGAAGTAAAGGTTAACGTGATGTCTGCAGGATACATCATCATTTGTTGTAGACAATTGACGTTAAAGCCAATTTCTATCTTACCCAATGGAATAATGTGTAGTGTAATTTTAGTAATTATTTAAAATGATTTTATAAATACAAAAAATACAACAATTTTTCTATTTATAAATGTATAATTTTGTAATGTCAATTTGAACTGTTATTTTTTAATATTATTTATAGCATTACCGATTAGATAATTATATTATTATTCCAAGAATAATTAATTGTAATATTATTAAATTCGATGTTTGTGAGAAAGTTATGTGTTTACTGTTTGAAAAAGCATAATTTAATGTAAACAGTTATATTATTTTGCAATGGAAATTAAATTGTTTGTCGCATAATACTACTACCTTACAAAATAACAAATATTTCTTTGCATAGTCATATTATTTTTGATTTAATTAATGATTTCATCAAATGTTATTAATTTTTCTTTTAATTAAATTTATTATTTACAATCTGCAATGAGTAAGTTCTTTACAAACAACAAAATATGATACAAATAAATATTAATGTTAACATTTCTTTTTCGGCCATCTGTCTGACAATAAGAAAATGAACTGAACTTGTTAACAATAATAATAAATAATTACAAATGTTATTCTATTTTTACTAGACATAACATAATTATAAGTTTGAATTTAAAATATTACTATGTCGAATTATGTTTATTGGTTATCGTTGCTTGTAGTTCCAACAAAAATGATACAGAATTTACATATTTATTTATATACTTTATAGTAATTATTCTCAATGTGGGGGTCGCGAATAATACTTGGGGGTTTTTCTACGTTTTTCTACATATATGGGTCGTTGTCGCCTTGAGTCAAAGCGATGAACTGGTGAAATACTCTTAGAAATTGGTTTGCATTATAACTACAGTGGAATTTTGTTTAACGATCACCTCCCTTAACGAGCAAAATAAATTTTAACAAAAATTACTGGCTTACGAGCAACGTTTCGTATAACGACTGACGAAGAAAATTGGAAGTCCCGGATTGTTTGAAACCAGATTTATCAAATAATAAAATACATACAAATAAATATACAAAAATAAAATTGTGTACTAATTTTATCGAATTTATTTTAATTTTGCCAAATTAACATTTTGTTTTGAAATCTGACAATACTGAATCCGAATTATTTTATTTGTACCAATAATAGATATTGTAATCTTTTATAATATAATTATGCAAATGGTATTTCCTACTTTATAATTTTGTCTCTATTACCAATTAAAAGAAAAACAATTGAAAAATTAACCAACTGCTAGTTTTTATTTTAAATTTTATTATTACGGTGGAACCTAGATTAACGAGCTTAATCCGTTCCAAAATTTCCGGATTTTTACTAGTATACTGAAACAATTTTCTCAATATAAACTAATGTAATACGATAATGCGATACATTTTGTAAGTCATTTTCTTACTATTTATTTTGCTTGTTAAGCGAAATGCTCGTTCTACGAGGTGCTCGTTAAGCGAGGTTCCACTGTACGTCTGTATTTATGCCTTCTTTCTGTGCCTATCGACTTGTACAATGCAATGGATTCTTTTTTATTTTGGTGAGATCTACATATGGGATATTATGAAACCTATTGCGATACTCTTTTATTAGGGTTGAAAAAAATATATAAGGTTGTCATCGACCTGTCATTGAAAGTAATAAGTTGACATTTGTTCATTAGCATTTCAAATTGAATTTATATATGTATGTAACTAATTTAAGTGATCCTCTTGAAGTATATATGGATGGATTCACTAATTATGACGGATTAGAGACGGAAGAGAAAGCTGAAAAGGAAGAAGATATTGCAAACTGAAACTCCTGTTCTTTCTTTCACTCTTAAAGACCTTGACCAAACATTTCAACACGTCGTAGTGTAGCTACTATAGGAGCCGCAAATTTCTAAAGATACTAAAAGTTTTATATGTTTAATTTACGTTTGTTAAAAAAATGTTGAGAAATAAATGTCAGGATTATATCACTTTATTTCTTTCACTAAATAGTTTTTTAAGCCCTTTGCAGCAGTTTGTTTTATTTTTATTATTGTCCTTTTTTAGTTTCTAATTTAGTTTTCCAATGAATGAATTAAAAAAAAAATAAGTACAGTGGAACCTTGGATTGCGAATAACTTGCTAGACGAGCAAATTAAATTGAAATTAATAAACGTGTGAGATGTTGCATTATGATATTCTGATATATAAAAGGCGCCGCAAACAAAAAAGTTTGGAAACCCCTGATCTTTAACTGCCGAGCGTCACCAGATCATAAACCGGTCGGATTTGTGGTTATTCGTCTCGTTTGATACACAAGTGCTTTGGAAAAAAATATACTAGCAAATCAAGATACCACTGTTTATTTTATTTACGAATTTCATATATACGATTATATTAAATAACGGTGGTAATCGCAAGCCGGACAACCGAAATACCGTCAATCAAATTCCCGACGTTCTAAATCCCGACGTTTGAAATCCCGACTATATTAAAATCCCGTCAACCATAATTCCGACTGTATCAAAATCCCGACTATATCCAAACTGACTTCAATAACATTTTTAAATTATTCCGGAGCGTAGTCACTTTTAAATTGTTATTAATAATAAATAACAACAATGAATAATTTAATTGTATTTGAGATTATTTCATAATGTTAAGGTTTATTATGTATAATTCAACAAAATCAAATAAATTAATAATAATTTATTGTTATTAATAATAAAAATGTAGTACAATGTGACTATGCTAAGAAATAATTTTAAAATGTTATTGTAGAAATTTTCGATATGGTCGGGATTGTGTTTGTCGGGATTATGGTTGTCGAGATTCAGATACACTTGGGATTTTGATATAGTCGGGATTTTGAACGTCGGGATTTCGATACAGTGAAGATTTTGAACGTCGGGATTTCGATAGACGGTATTTCGGTTTCGGGCTTGCGATATAGACCCAGTAAATAAAATCTCTTTAGGAAATAAAACTTGTTTTATTTCGTGTATTACTCCTGTTATTATTATTGTATCAGAATTCTTAACAATTATAATAAATTCGAAAAAATATCATAATGATTTACATGTGTTAGCCCGTTTTAAATGAGAATATTCACTACTAACATAAATAATATAAACAATATTTCAAAAAATCAATCTAGAAAGGATTTTTGGTTTGTTAATTAACTGAATGTGTAATAAGAACTCATTGACAAGTAACGTAAATTAACGCCATTATTTTCTTAATTCGATTCATAAATAATTCAAATTTTTGGGAGATTTCAATAATCCCTATAGAAAGTTATATAAACATTTTATATTAAAACTATTGCAGCATTACATTATTATTATCTACAGGATATTATAAAATAATCTATAATGAGTAATAAATTAATTAGAAATAAAATCATACGAAATAAAAAATGATTAAATGTCTTTTAAATTGTAGATAATTAATAGTTAATAATAATAATATATGAACGCATTTATATCTACTTATTGGAATATAAAATATAATTTTCAATACTTTAAATAAAAAATATAAATTCATACAACTGTACTACAACGGACTTTCAAATCTGCATAAAAAGAGATTTGAGTAGATAAAGGGAATAGACTATCATTGAATATAAAAAAAGAATGTGAACTATTTTCCTACAATTTATATTTATTTTATCAATTAATATTTAGTTTGTTATATGTTTTTGTATTTATGACATAATTAGTTTTATTACAAATGAATCAAAACATATATTGACATATATGTATTATTCTACAAATATATCCTTATGTTAAGTATATTAAAAATTAAATTATTAAATATATTAAAATAAGAGGTACTATTATGCAAAATTAAAATTAATTCTATTAATAATATTTATTCAAGTTATATTACATGAATTATATTTCAGAGAAACAAAAATATATAAATGATAATTAATATAAATAAATAAAATAAGTAGATATCTATATTATTTTGTATATAGTGTATTTATTTAAAATTATAATACAAATATAGTTTATAAAACAAATTATAATAATGGAAAAGAATCATCAATTTAATTTTAATATCAGTTATTATACTAGATATAATCAAAGAAATCAAAATTATTTGTATTATATTAAATGTAATATTTTTATGTAATAAATTATATAAGTTTTATAAAACAACTCTTAATAAAAACGTAATGTTTGTTATATCTTGTTAATATTTAAACATTTTCGTTACTTTAAAGTAGAGATTTCCATCTAAGTTTTATTTATTTAACGTGTTCTATTTAATGATCTAAATTACATTCTAATTAAATTATACCTTTTTAATAATGTTTCTTCAAAAAATACGCATAGATATTATCGCATAAAAATAAAAAGTAACTTATGTAAAAGTAATAATAAGGAAGTTTGAATACGGCGGTGCTCGGCGCCAGCACCGAAAAAATATAAACAAAAATGACCTTCTATTGGAATTATACAAAAAAAAATGACACGCAAGAAACCTTGATTATTTTGTATTTAAGAAAATTAATTCATATCGAAAAATAAAAGTAATACAAATTTAATTTTTCATTTCTTTATTAATAATTTTATTTTATTTAACATACAGATAATTAATGCATCGTTTCAATATAATTACAATTAATATTACTACAAAGAAGGTTTTTATTTACAAAGCCATTACAAATCACAATACTTTACACAATCTAAAAACTTAAGTTTATTATTTCAAATACAAACAAAAAAAATACTGTTCAAAAGTAGTGCGCTGATGCCCAAGAAAATATTAGAAATTAAAAGTGCTCTAAAAATTAAACATAATTTATTCACATTAACGTTTAGTCATCAATTTAGTTATAATATAAATCATATCGTTAACCTTGTGCGAAATAGTATAAAAAAAAACATATGTATAGCACTAGCACACATCTAATGAGGTCTTTGGCTCTTAATGCCAAGGATAAAGAAATTGTAAATTATCTCTAATCGAGGGAATGGAATAGTATTTACAGATTTATTATATTATTTTGTTTTTTATTTGCATCAATATTTTCTGTATGACACAGCATTGCAGATTCATCGTAAAGAAAGCAATAATATATGTTGTAACTAGTAAATATTTGCATTGGCACTGGAAAAAGGTTTCTCTTTCATTTGATAAAGAATTTAATACATGTACTGAGTTAATCTAACGCTAATTGAATAAGTTACTGAGGCCTATGGTGGTAGTATTTTGGTTCGCTTTTGTCGTAGACCGAGTTCTCGTTCTCTTCTTGGTTGTAGTAAACGATCTGCGGCACGTAATACCTCAAGCCAGATGAGTAAATGACTCCAATTTCCGGTACGTATTGATTGTTGTTCTTGTTGAAGTTGTATTGGTAACTGGAGACGCTGTTCTGCGGTTCGTGCACTTGGTACACAACTTGCTTGACCTGCTGAGCATTCTGCACCTTTGGTTCCTGGTTGTCGTATCTCCTCTGGGTGGTATATTGTTGGACAAAGTGTTGAGAACTGCTCTGACTCTTGTTCTCCACCTGCCTAGCTATTTTGTCGACTTCGTATTGCTGAACTTCGAAATATTGGGGACCGGTGTAGTCTAATCCAATGGCCTTTGCAAACTTCGATTTTCTATTGTAGATATCATACTTTTGCAGCGCCGGTGTAAACTTGATGTCCAGGGGAGTGCCTAAGATCAGATTCGGGTTAGGTTTGTGAGATAGTATTTGCTTCCTGTACTGGTGTGGAGTTGGTGCCTTGTAATGGAAGGTATTGGGAACGTCGTCTTCGATTTTCTCGTAAACTGCTGGAGCACTTCTCGGTGCCAATGGGTTTGCCGTTGATGAAGATACTGTCGGAGCGATGATGGGGCCATGGTTTGTGCCAAATGATACCATGATTGGTTTCGCTACTGATACTGAAACCACCGTTGTGATCTGAAATTAAACCAAAGATTGTTATTAGTATTGATGAATATTACTTCATACATTTCTTATTTATTCATTATTATATATTACAATTTATAAATGCATAATTGTATCTAGTTTGTATAATTAATGAAATCATTTACTTTAATTATTTTATAATAAAATAATCTAGGTCCTAGGTTGGACCAATATCATCAATTAACATGCACAGGGAATTTAATTAATGCAATATAGTTTGTATTAACAGAGATGACATAGTGCCTATATTTTTTGGGGCCCACAAAAAATATTTTAATTAGGTATAATATATTCAAATATTTCTAAAAGTTGACTAGTTCTATAAGTAGTAATCTAAATTCTGTCATGCATATTAGACGAAAAATACATACTGAATTTATAATAGATAAATTTCTATTATATAAGATATAGTTATTAGTTAGACACGTTTATTAATAACATATATTACACATGTAAATATTCTTCAATAAAAAAAAAAAATTAAATTAAAAAAAATGTTATAAATTTATATAAAAGAATCAATGAATTAATAAAGAATAAAAGTAAATGTTATGAATATATTAATTGATTTCTTTTCAAACTGCATTAGAGAAATTTAATCAGAAATACATTAAACTATCGCTGATATTAATAGCGAAGTTGTCAAGTTTCTTGAACCCAAATTGCTGTGATTAAAATAAACATACAAAAACCGTAATGACTTCATTTGATTCACGTAACATAATGAGCCCAATTCGGACGGTAAAAGTGAACGAAACAATGAGTGACCCTATCACTTTCATCTTTTAGAAGTGCTGCATGTCTCGGTTTTACTTCCGATGCAGCGCTTAGAAAGGATTTTTTTCGCTTATAATTAAGATTAATGATTCATCGCGAATTCAAAAGATGACGGCTTCAAATCGCGTCGCGTTCAATTAGCGCGATATCCAGTTATGCAATTTTCAGCTGGTATATAGATGGATTCGCATGGTAAATTTAACGAACGGACATGTACATGCATCTAGAATCTAGATGAAAGTCTTTCTCTCTGTTGCGCAACTTGCGAATCCACTTTGTAGGAACGTAATATTATCTTGTAATAATAATATATTTGCTCTGTTTATAAAGATAACGCCAGTGTTTTTGTCTTCTTGCACTTGTTGTTATTTCTTCATTACGTTCACTATACTTACTTTTATGGCAATTAGTTGAAAGTAATAGAATATCCCTTAAGCGAAAAAAGTATCAATTTTCAATTTAAATTCAAAGCGACTTTCAAAATGCCGGTTATAAAAATTTAAACGTTTAATAACTGGGACTGATAAATTGCACTGATATGAAACAATTATAAACTATAAGCGTATATAGACTTGTATATATATAAACAAATATTTCTAAAGAAAAAGCAGATACATTATTATGATAATCCAATTCAGTAAAATTATATAATAAATCTGTTCTGTTTCACTAACTTCCTTGCATAATTTTTTTATGAATAATCAGTTATTTCTCTTATACAATATAAATAATTCCGATTATTAGATTAAATTTTATCACACAAATGTTTGCTTTAGGGATGCTTTAAGAATTCCGTTTTGAGATTAATTTTTGTATCTGTTTGATGAAATAATAACCTTAATTGACTTGTTAAGTTAAAGAGGCCAGAAATTCCTAGACAAATTCCTAGACAACTGAATCAGACAACTACGTCAACTGAATCAACATTGGATAATATGGCCTATCAAGATTCATCCTTAGACATTTCAACGAAATTAAAGGGTAATTCCTCACTCCTATACAGAAAATTATAATAATGCCCCACTAGACATGTTCAAAGAGTTAAACAACATCGTAAAATACTCTCATATAAATATTGTATTAAAGTAATCAAGGAGCGGAAGATGTTTATATATCATTAATCATTAAATGATCTGTGAGCGAGTTCAGCACTTCCGAGATTTTTTTTGTTCAAGAATTAACACAACTGGGTGATTTCTATGTAGTTCAGGAAATATGAGCGTCAAACAGACCGCGTCAATTCGAAGCATTGTGAAGCTTTTCAGACAAGGAAGAACGTTACACAATAACATCTTAACTTAAATATTATAAATTATCGCAACATATTATCTGTGTTCATAAACTTTTTTAAATTATTGATTAACTTATGTAATAAATGAGGGTCCGAGAGCCTCATGCGTCTCTTCGTTGAGTCAAGTGCGGCTCCCATTAAAATAGTGTTTTTTTTTTTATATTTGAGTATTATTACTAAAATTTTGAAATAATTACGTCATTGTGTTCTTATATGTGACTTTTCAAAATATGCAATAAAACATTTTGGAACCACTATAGAAATTTCAAATTTCTATCAAATTAGTAAATCATCTAATAGTGAGAAATTTTCCGCTAAAGTTTAAGAAAATATAAATAAAACGATTGTATTTTGTGTATTTTGTTGTATTTTGATGAAAATATTATAATAATGATTAATCAAAGTTATTCTCTAATAATTAACTTAATTACACTATAATATTAAACTATAAACTAAATATAAATATTTTATAATAATTCAGAGGTTAATAGTTAATAATAAATAAATAATTTCAAGCAGAAATGTATTTAACTGCAATAACATTTTTACATTCTATTAATTATATAATCATTGGTTATGTAGTATTCTACATAATAATATGCAGATTATAAATCTGCCATTTCCTGCGTTTACTTAATGCATAATCTGCTTTAATTATCTTTAAATTGAATTCAATGTCAACATGGATATAAACTGTTATTAGTACTGATAAGTATTAAAGTTATTAAAATAGATTAATCAATTGTACATATATTAAACAAATTATAGCATTTCATCAATCATCAAAGATCATATACTGTATAATGTGATTATGAGCGTTTCCATAAAGGTTAGTATTGCAAAAGTTTCTAATTCGCCTAAATTGCAAATGAAAGGCAGTTAATTAAAGAGAAAATGAGGAGAATCACCGAATCAAATCACATTCAATAAATCTATTGATCCGAGAATCTTCCGGATTCCTTTATAGTATATTTCATCTTTATAAAGCCGAATAAATAGAATTTCAAATAAAATTAACAAATATATAGAAATATTTGGGTTGAACAATTTATTGCTTAGAATTTTCAAATTAATTATTCCTTTTAAGACTCCCAAAATCACTTTGACTTTTCTTTATTGTGACTAATTAACTTGACTAATATCATTATTTTTTTTACGTCATTAATTTTATTTAAACGTTATGCAATTGTGCATTACATTATATTGAAATTAGATCATATTTTTTGTATAATGGATATTTTTTCGACTTTCTAGTATTTAATTTATTTTATAATTTATTTTTTCTAAAAAAAAATCAAATTGTTCGAATCTCAAACATCAAACGTCATTGAAAGTTTTAAACCGTTGCTGAACTTAAGTCTAAATATAAAATAATATATAGAAATAAGTGAACCAGGACGTGCATGAGTGTAGTTAGTGTATCTAATTATAATCAGTAAGTTATTTTAATCATACGATGAAGAAATATGTGAATTAATTGAACACACCTTACGCATTAAAAATAGTAATTCAACGAATAATTTAATTAATGGACTTCCTAGATTAGACGAACTGAATGGAATTAGGTGCACGGAGTTAATATTATACGTTCGTTAGAGTGCGTTACAAATTTAATCATATGTATTTTCTTCTCGACTGCACACGAGTTCACTTATGGATTACAATTTATTCGGAGTAAAAATAATACCTTGAGATTCTATATTTGGTCCGAGCTTTAATGTTCGTGCTGCAACCTCTTCGCGTTATGCGGATCCAAGGCAAAATATCAATAAATAACACATATTATGATTAAACATCAACACCATTTTTTCTGATTCATTGATTCTCGTCCCTCTATCCTCCAGTCGACGATTTCCTTGAGCAACCGAGGAGACGTTACATAAATGGATAGGTCGATGTGAAAGGTGAATGTTTGTATTTCGTTGGTCTTGTTTCGATGCTCTTCATTACAACAATGCTCATTTGAGGCATCTGATAATATCTGAGCTCACAGCGGTGTAACAGCAATTGTGCAAAAACTAAAAATGTAGATCATTGCGAGATAATTAAGTCTAGGTAGGCTCTAATTAACCGAGTAGGAAATGCGGACGGTTTCGTACCAGAATGCAATATTCGGTTCAAATTTCTGCAGGTAATTGAGATTGTCATAAGAGCGACAGTGAAAAAATAAAATTGTGTACTAACCGATGTGATTTCTAATGTATTGATGGAAACTTCAGTTCGGCGAATCACGATTCTCACGGAATTTGTGATGTTCGTCCACAAAACGAGTTCAAAGCTGAGCAATCTTTTCTTCTAGGAAAAGACTTCTTGCAGCAGCACTAGTACTTCGTCTTTCTCTCTTCCAATTTCACTTTTCCTTAACCGAACAATTATCTTCGCACAATAGGCATTTATTATATAATGCCATTATGTTTCTTGCATGCGTGCTAACACATAAATAGGTACGTTTGCTTATAACTACTATCTAGCTCTCGGACTCCCGAGCTCTTTCAACAATCACTTACATTTTAAACAACCATCCCGTTAATTACATTTTGTTTCGCCAGAGAGTAAAATTTATGCCAACGAAAAAAAAAATTATTTAACAGTATTCTCTGTTTTATCAGTTACAAAGATATGTACAATATTCACTTTTAATTAATAATTTATATTTTCAATTATTGAAAAATTAATTACATTTTTAATAATTCATAAAGCATAAAGCGAATAATTTATATATACAAAATAATATTGTGTACTAATTTCTTAGAATTTATTTTTATTTTGTCGATTAATAATTTCTTTTGAAATTTTTAAATCGGACTTTAGTAAATACCGATTGATCGAGGCCGTACTATATGGATTGTTGCTGTATTTCAATATTAATCACCAAAAAATAAATTTTGTCTCAATTATAAAAAGAAACTATTTTATCAATTAG